CCTTGTACAGGGTTTCCGAGGGTGTAAATCTTTACGGGAGTAGAAAGTCTCATCTTTCTCCCTCGGAGCAGCTGGTAGTTTCGAACCGCTGACCTTAAGGTTCGCAGCCCAATTCGTAACCACTATGCTACTGAAAAAAAGAGTGCTCTAGGCAAAAGAGATAGAAACCTCAGAAGTCAGAAAAAGTATTGCTTCAAAGGAAATGGAAGACATTCAATATGACAGCAGGAGACAGAGAGAGATGAATAGTGACAAGGTACCAAGCTAAAGAATTACACTTATTTTTTGAGGAGAGAAACAAGGGTTAAGAGTAAAGGTCAACTAAACTCATGATCTTTTCCAAAAACTATGCTACATCTTCAATATTCTCACATCTAGGAAACAGTAACTCCATCCTTCAAACTGCTCATATAAAAATATCTTGATGTAATCTTTGACTCCACTCTTTTCTCAGTCCTCATTTGAAAGTTTCTTTGTTTCACCTTTAATAGATTGTCCACTTCTTATCACTTCCACTACTACAGTCAAGCTATATAAATTAATACAGTAATATTCTAACTAAACATACATACACACAAACTATTCTCAATACAGTAGCTCTGGTAATCTTATTTGGAGTCCTGATGTAGTACTGTAGGATACTGAACTACTAACCACAAGACCAGCAGTTCAAAGACACCTGTCACTGTTCAGAAGCCCTGTACAGAGTCACTACAAGTGGCAACCAACTCATGGCTGGTCAAAACCCTCTAATGGCTTCCCATCTGTTATGGATTGAAATGTTTTTCCCTATAACTGTAATTATGATCTTGTTTACAAATAGGGATTTTCTTTTGGTGTGTTACTGAGATCATACAAAAGTGTTGTTGCTGTTGTTAAGTTCTGCCGAGTCAGTTCCAACTCATACCAACACTGTATAGGGTTTCTGAGGAGCATGGTGGGTTTGAACTGCTGACCTTGTGGTTTGCAGTACAGTGCTGATTCTATAACTGCATCAGGAGTCCCATACAAAAGTAGGGTTCTGAAAAGCAGAGTCCTAAAGTTAATTTTTTTAGAGTGATGTCTTATAAAATGAGAAAAGAGCTGCTGAGAGACACACACTCAAGAGAGAATGAGACAACATGAGAAACTCTAAGCATTACTAAGGAAAATATGGGATAACTTTCAAAAAGAAATCCTTCCCCAGAGCCTATTTCCCTATTTGGACTTCTAGCTTCAAAAACTATATGGAAATAGTGTCTGTTCCATAGTCACCCATTTGTGACATTTTTGTTACATCATTCCTAGGAAACTAGGACACCAACTCTTCCAAAGCAAAAACTGAAATCCTACAATGATCCCCAATACCTACGTGATCTGCCTGGAGTTTATATGATTTATTTTAATCCATACTAAGTGGCAGAAGTAGGAGTAGAACACAGAACACAGATCCCCTGATTCCCATTCATATAAACTAGTTCAATAAATTGAAATAAATGAGAAGCATAAGCATTAGTCAATATTATAAACCTCCCTTTAAGAAAAAAAAAAAAGTCAATTTTGACCAAGAAGAAAACAAACTAGCATAGTGTTTTCCAAATTCACATGATTTTATGAGTCCAGGTACCCAAAGTCCAATGATGTACCAAATAAATCAGACTCTGCTGTGCATAAAGTCGCTATGAGTCGGTACCTACTCGATGACACCTAACAACAACAACAACGTAAGAAAATGGCCTGGAAATCTGTATAATATTTGCATATTACTATGATATAACTGGAGTACCTGGTGCGACACTGTAGGATAAGCATTGGACCACAATGTCAGTTTGAACTGCAAGGTGGCGATTCAAACCAACCTTGTGGTCATTACACGGGGTCAGTATGAGTCAGAAGCAACTTGGCGGTACTTAACAACAAGCAATAACTACGATATATCCTAGTTGAGGAAGCAGTGGGCAATGGCCAGGTTGCTGTTGTTGTTAAGTGCCGTCGAGTCGGTTCCGACCCATAGCGACCCTGTACAGGGTTTCCGAGGCTATAAATCTTTATGAGAGCAGAAAGCCTCATCTTTCTCCCGCAGAACAGCTGGTAGTTTCGAACTGCTGACCTTGTGGTTCGCAGTCCGTAACCACTACGCTACCAGAGCTCCTTAATGGCCAGGCAGTTCCACTCTTTTGGTCCAACAACCAATCATTGATGATGATTAAAAGACTTTTTGTTGTCGGATTAGTTCTGAAGAGTGAAGATGTATAATCCAAAAAGTTTACAAGTCTTTTGATTTTTAGTTTTTCAAAGACAGGAGTCCTGGTGTGACACTTTAGGATAAGCAGGGACCACTAATGATGTTGTTCAAACCCACTGCCACTTGTGAAAACCCTACAGAGGATTGCTATGAGTTGGAATGGACTCAACATCAAACAAGTAGTCCTAAGACAAGAGACCCCTAGTGGTGTAAGTGCCTGGATGCTTATACAGAAAGGTAAATTGTTTCAAACCACCAGCTGCTGCACAGGGCAAAAAATGTGGCAGACTCTTCCATAAATATTTACATCCTTGGAAACCTTATAGGATGTCCAATAGGGTCACCATGAGTTGAAACTCACTTGATTGCAATGGGTTTGGTTTGGAGCTTAAATACTAAGCAAATTCCTTCTCATTAACCCTTTTCAATATTTTATACTCAAGTCACAGAAGATAATATCTTTGGCATTCTGGCATACTTGCTTTCTCTTTCTATTCCTTTTTCTTGGTTCAAAGAAAGTCCTTAGACTCTATAGTTAGAAGCAGAATTTAAGCTCGTAATTTTTTTTTAAGTATCTGTAGTTAAGCTTATAAGTATTAGAAATTCACATCTAGTTGCCAAAATTCAAATATAATGTTTACTTTCTCAAATGTAGCTTACTTTTTCTCAACAGATGTTCATTTATAGAGCTATGCAAACTTCAGATCCAAGTTTTAAACTTGGCAAATTTGTCTGCCTTTTAGTTAAAGGGAAAGACAAAGATCCAGAAATGAACTGGTCCTATACTTAGTTAGTACTGCCCTCTAAGTAATAATAATTTTCACATATAGGATTTATAATCACCATTAGCACCATCCCCATGGAATAGAAGTCAAGACAAACACACTAGAAAGATAACATAATATATTCAGAAAATATGATGTCATCGTTGTTGTTAGATACCATAGAGTCATTTCCAACCCATAGCAACCCTTTGTACAAACAGAACTAAACACCACCCGGTCCTGCACCATCAGAAAAGATACTACCAAAAGAAGGACTTTTGAATCTCACCCAGCATAAAGTTAATCACAAAAAGACGAATACTCTATGAGATCACTGTTATAAAAAGTTAACAACAAAAAAATTTTTTAAAGGTTTTCTTGATAAAAGAAACAATGTGGGAACTATCCATTCAGGTCGAGATGGCAGAGGTGGAAGAAATCCTGAAATGGCTGCAGAGCCAGAAGGGCGTGCAGGGAATCATCGTGAACATGGAAGGCAAGTCCACTACCACCCAGTACGCCAACCTCATGCACAACCTCATGAAGGCATGCAGCATTGTGCGAGAAATTGACCCCCAGAATGCCCTCACCTTCCTTAAAATTCACTCAAAGAAAAACGAAATTATGGCTGCACCAAATAAAGACTATTTCCTGATTGTGATTCAGAATCCAACTGAATACGCCACTCTCTTGGCTCCTCTCCCTGTGTTATTCCTTAATTTTATGCCCCCCAAGAAGAATAGCTTTTTCTTGGCAGAGATGAGTGAGTGCCTCCTGTGCCGCCTCACTTTCCTGAAATATTTCAATTTTTATTCCATCAATTCCTGGTGACTTGTTCTTTGCC